GAAAAAAATTGAATGATTGCGAAGAAATTTATAAAAAAAAATTGAAAATAATGTATTTCCTGTGAAATTTTTATTACCTATCTTTTAAAAATAATTAAAAGTTTGTGTAGAATTCTATAAAAAAAATTTTAAATATTTGAATTCTATTGGAAAATTTTTATGAAAATAGTGGATATTGAAAATCATTGAATTGAGGAAAATTTTGTAATTTTCATTTGTAATTTCTCTAAAATTATCCAAATTAAATCGTACAATTTACCATAACTTTTCATTCTTTCGTGCTTTACGGATTTTTTTTCAAAAAAACGGATTTTTACAGTATTTACGGACCTACTTCAAGCCCTGGAGAATGTAATGATAAACAACAATAATTAATAATATAGTATAGTAAATAATAACTATTAGATAATAATTATTAATTATAAATAATTACTCAGAAAAATACCAAAAATTACTTGTAAATAACTGCGATAATAAAAGTAATTATATATGATCTTTTTTTTCTCCCAGCGAAGAAATTGATATTCGGGAGATTGGTTCAATTTTTTTCTCAATAAAGACGTCGTCATTTAAAACTGTTAATTGGATCTCCGTTCTTTTGCAAGATTTCAGTAATATTTTCAACAGGGTAGGTAGATCATCACTTAAAATGCCGGGAATGAAGAAAAGAAAAAAAGGAATGAAAAATCGTTTAAAAAAGCTGTAACGAGATCTTGAATGACCGGCTGGCACGAATCCTGCTTCTTTGTCGCGAGTTGGGCGTCGACTTTTTTTTTCATTTTTTTTTTTACCCTTTTTAGCTCTCCTCTCTCACTGTATCTTATATATATGCAGGAAGACTCGCGGTCTTTCGACTTGTATAAGTATTCACTGTGTATATACCAATATATACCCGTTTTACTTACTTTGAAGCCAAAAGACAAAATTCACAAAATTCAGACAGGAAATTGGCGTCTAGTGTGACATGTATAAATAGATAGTAGGTGCAGTGCATAAGTACAAAAATTATCCCCCTTTTGTATATATATATGTATAGACACACTTTTATCTCGGAAGCACTTTAAAAAGTATCAAAATATGTGCGTTCATCCTGCGGATGAAAAGACGCCTTTCTTGAAGCCTATGCTGCTAATTTTAAATTCCACGCGGGTCTTCTTTTCGTAAAGTTTTTCAATATATCATATAAAAGTTAAATGACTCGAGAACATTTTTTTTTCGTGGGGAAAGCTTTCGTAAATTTAAACTTCGTCTCATTTTCGACACGAACTTCTTTAATTTATAATTTAGCGCAAATTTAAACCTTTCCTTCTTGAAGGATTGAGAAATAATTTCTTTTTACTAATCATTATCTATTCTTTTTGGAATAGATAATGATAATTTTACCACCTGTACAAAAAATACAGGTGGTAAAATTTATCCAATAAATAAATTTTGTCAATAATTGCAAATGGTAAAATTTACACAATTGCATAAATAAATTTTGTTGAAAAAAAATGAGGAACGAGATAATTATTCGAAATTATTATTTTGAACGAGATAATCGAAATTTTGATGATTGTAATTAAATAACTTCTCTCTTTCTGAATGTTAAATACATTAACGTTTTCGGCATCATTAGTCTCGCTAAAATGTTCGACATAAAGAACTCTTTATGCTGATATTTAGTGGCCAACATATATCAACATTATGAATAATAAATTTCGAAGGGCGGACACGTTCTGCTTTTTGTTTCACCTCCCGCTGACAATAGTTTTTAGAGAGACTGCGCTGATTTTTTACTTCACCTTTTTTAAAATTTTTTTTGTTTGTTTGTATAAAGATGAGACATTTTTTATATTTTTATTTATATAACTAATAGTTTTATATTTTTCATTCATGCGTTAAAAATGCGATTTTTAACTCAGCGTTTAATAATAAATTTAGTGAATTAATTTTTCCACTTGAGAACGCCAAGGTCGCCACCAGAGGGCAGTGAAAATTCTAAGAAGGAACTGAACTGACATCTAGCGGTGACCTTGGCGTTCGCAGGTGGAGAATAACGTCTCCATATTGAATTTCACGTTGTTCGTAAGTAATTCAATTAAATAATGAAATTTTCACTGGAATTCACTAATTTAAAATTCCATTTTCATGAACCTTTTCGAAAAAAATTATTGAGAATATTTAAATAAAATTCTTTGATTGAAATTAATTATTTACAAAAAAAAAAAAATTGATAGAATTTTTTTTACAAGAATTTAATTATTTTCAATACAATTTTTCATAAATTCCTCGATAATATAATTATTTTCATAAATATAATAAAATTCATCGCAAGAATTCAATTATTTTTCATTTATATTTGAATATTCTAATACAAACCCTTCAACATTTTTTTCTAATTCTGACTATAGAATGAATTTTTTAATATTATTTAATTATTTCAAAAGTTTTAATGCAATTATCTTGATAAATAACAAAATTCTTTACAAAAATTCAATTATTTTTAGGAATTTTAAAAAAATTCTTTACAAAATTCGATTATTTTCATAAATAACAATATTCATCACAAGAATTCAATTATTTTCAAAGGTAATAAAATTCTTCGAAGAAATTCAATTATTTTAAAAAATTTGAACGAATATTTCGTTAAGAATTCAATTATCTTTATAAATAGCAAAATTTTTCGCCAAAAATTCAATTATTTTCAAAAATTTAAATGAAACTCTTTTCAAAATTTCAATTATTTTCAAAAGTTTTTCGCAGTTCAATGATTTTTAAATAATTTTAATTTTAAATAAATTAAGGATTTAAATAAATTAAAATTTAAGAAACATTTCATTATTCAATAAAATAATAAAATTCGTTGCAATAATTCAAAAATTTTCATAAATAACTTTTCATTCGTCACAGGAAATTAATTATTTTCAAAATTTTTTAAGTAATTTTGTAAAAGAATTCAATTATCTTGATAAACAACAAAATTTTCCACATAAAATCAATTATTTTAAGGAATATTAATAAAATTCTTTTCCAAAATTCAATTATTTCGATAAATATCCAAATTCGTCATAAGAATTCAATTCTTTTGAAAACTAATAAAATACTTTCGAAGAATAAAATTATTTTCGAATTTTTTTTAAAAATTCCCGTTAAGAATTAAATTACCTTTTTTTATAAATAGATAGCGAAAATCTTCTCAAGAATTAAAATTATTGTCAGAAATTTTAATAATATTCTTGGGAAAATTTCAATTATTTAAACGAAATTTAATAAAAATTCTTCACATGAATTTATTTAATTATTTTCATAAATTAATATTTAAATTTTTCTCAGGAATTTAATTATTTAAAAAAATTTTAATAAAATTCTTCCAAAAGTTTTCAATTATTTTCAAAAATTGTTATAAAATTCTTTAATATGATAAATTTTAGTAAAATTTTAATTAAATTCCTTAAAAGAAATTAATTATTTTCAAAAGTTGTTAATAAAATTCTTTGTAAAAATTAAATTCTAAGAAACATTCAATTATTGAATAAATTATTTATTTTTGTATTTAAATAATTAAATTCTCGTAGAATTTTCTAATAAAAATTGATTTAGAAATGAATTTCGGTTAGAATTTTAGATAATAATTAAATATTAAAAACATTAGGGGGGGGGATACTTAGAAATAATTGGATTTTGAAAAGGTTTCGATTTTCAAATTTTTAAAAATCAGAATTTTTCTTACTTTTAACTATAATAATTCTACGTAGAATTAATTTTATTATTAATTCACTGGGTTTTCTTCAATTCAAATTCAAATCTTTTGAAATACAATTGTATTTCAAAAGATTTGAATTTGAAATTTTTGAAAATCTTAATTTTTTTCTAGTAAGGGAAAAAGCTAAAATTTTGTCTGGAAAATCAAGGAAAATTAAGGGATAAACGAAATAAAATTTTTGTGGAAACCCTGATTTATTATATTTAATACAAACTTTAATTTAATTATTAAACAAATAAAATACAATTATTCTTTTAAATTTTAATAACATTTTTCTGAAAAAGCTTAATTATTTTTTAAAAAATTTAAGAAAATTTTGTTCAACAATTCAATTACCTTCACAAATATAATAGAATTCGTAGCAGAAATTCAATTTAATTTTTTATAAATAATAAAATTTCTTACAGGAATTCAATTATTTGAACACGGAGAGAGAATATATATTAAATTTTGTAAAAGTATTTTACAAATTGGGGAAAAAGTGCAACAAAGCGAAATTTTGATATAGAAAATACTAAACTTTAAAAAAAGTTTTGTGAAATTTATTAAAGTTATATTAGAATTTAATTAATATTCTTGATATTTGATATAATTATACTAAATTTCACATAAGTTTTTTTAAAGTTTAGTATTTTTTATATCAAAATTTCGCTTTGTCGCACTTTTTCCCCAATTTGAAAATATTTTTACAAAATTTAATATATATTCTCTCTCCGTGAAATTTTTTTAATAAAATTCATCTTAAGAATTTAATTATTTTTTAATACAATTTGAGATAAATTATTAAAAATAGTTTAATTATTCTTTTAAATTTTAATAATTTTTTTCGAGAGAAATTAATTATTTTTACAAAATGTAATAAAGTTTTTTTTAAAAATTCAATTTGTAAATGTATGATGATTATTACTACTTTTATTATTATTAGTATTATTTTTATTATTATTATTATTTTTTATTTTTTTTTATTTTTAACATACAATTTTTATTATTATTGTTCCTGTTGTAAAAAAAATTGTTCTTAAAAAAATATTTTGCCTATTTAAAATTAACAAAAATCAACGAGCCCACTGCAGCAAAAAATATCAAAAGGAGTAAATCCAGAGAAAATTGGAGAGAAAATTGAAGATAGAAAAAAAGATAAAGATAGAGAGAGAGAAATCTCATAATATAATAATATACAATGGAAGTCTGGAGGAGTGCATCGTAGTAAACGAAATGCGTCGCGAGTCTTAACGGCCTGCCATCAGAGGCGCTGAGTGTTCAGTAGGAAAAAGTCGACACTCCTGAGCAGATAGTCGTGACTTCGTTCGGCAAGAGGTTGTCTATATCGCGCTCTCGTATCCGCGATTGTGCACGCTTTTTCACTTAATTTTCAAAAAAAAACAACAACAGGAATATTTTTTCGTTAAAAAAAATTTTAGACAATAATTCCTCTAGTGTTTTACACATCGGCGGATAAAAAAACAAAAATTCTCTTTGCAAATATATTAGAGAATTTACAATCTGAAAACCTGTCCTCTTGAGAAAACCAGTCCTTAAACGAATAAAGAATCTGTATTTTCTTTTTCGAAAGAGGAATTACTTGTGAATTATTGTAATACTCTAACAATATACCAGTTCAAAAAAAATTACTCTAATATACCAGTGATACTTGTAGAGCAAAATACCAGTAATACACTAGAAAAATACTAGCAAAATACTAGTATATACCACTAGTACCCCAACAATACCACCTACAATACCTACCCAACATAATTTCTTTTCTATTTTCTTTCCCTTTTTTTTTTAAACTATAAATAGTAAAATCGATTAAATGTTAAATGCAACAAATAAATAAAGTGTCTATAGAAAAAGGAAATGTGACAAGTTGAGTGTTTTGTGTGCCGAAGAAGTTGAATGTTTGAATCGAAATACTTTGTCGTGGAGAGTGAAGAAGGATATCTTGAGACAGGAGAGGAGAAAATACTTGTTTGAAACTTGTTTTGAACTTGAATTGATTCGAAGGAGTTAAACCACGACGAATGTCAATTCGTGTGATGCATCCACGTGCTTTTAGCACTACTTGAATTCATTTTAGGGTGGGAGTTGTGCCACAGTGTGTTTACGATATTTCACTCTTGGTTGAGAAGTTTTATAGTTCACATATATGTCCTCCTGAGAGCCATTGATCTGACAGTCAAGCGAGAAAGAGATATCCCTTTTTCTTATAGCGTTCTCACGATTGGCCAAGAGGAAAGGCGACCTTTTCTTTCTCTCTCTACCTTCTTAGCATTTAACCTGTCCCTATATCAGGAGCGTACAATTTCTCACTGATGAAACGTTTCATCATTCTTTAACAAGTTTAACATCTTTTAACAATCTTTAACATCTTTTAAATCTTTTAACAACCTTTAACATCTTACAACTCTACAAATCCTTTAACAACCTTTCTCAAACTTTAAGATCCTTTCACAATCTTTAGCATCCTTCAGCATCCTGTTTTAACATCGAATTTCCCGATTAGAAAATAATCCCAAAGAAACATTGGGAACATTTGGAATGGTTCAAATTCTGCCGAAATTTGAAATGTAATTGAGTCAAAATGCTCGAGCAGGAGGATTCTCCAAAGCGGAGATCGACATTCTATGTTTCACTTGATGGAGAATCGCGTCAAGGGACAATAACAATTTCCCCCAATTCGGAGAAATATTGTAATACATTTCCAATTGGTACGAGTACAAAAGTGGTGAATAATTTGACACGCACTTTGAGTAATCATGATAATCTGACAAGTAGTGAGAAGATTGAGCCACGCGGTAAGGTGCAATCGTTGACGAGAATTTTCGAGACATCGAAAGTGGATGATGGTTTGGAGCAACAGCAGCAGCAACAACAGAAAAAGAAGGTTGAGAGGACCAGGTCCTTTAAGACGATAGAAAGATTTCAGAGCCGGTTTACCGGTAAGAAAGATGCTGCGAGAAAGGACAACAGACTGAATAATAGTTTAGGTTCCATTGATACTGAGAATTGTAATGATGATGCTAGACGTAAAAATCGAAGTGACGATCGTCATCAGCATCAGAATCAGGATGATAATGAGGATGTTGAAAGGAGAACAACTGTGCCGAAGATTAAATCGAGAACTAGGGAATCGAGATCAATTGTCGAGCAGAAAATGTCAAAACAATGTGGTGGGAATAATAGTACGACTTTCGCGAATTTAATAAGAAGGACGCATAGTACAAAATTGGCGAGGAGTACAAGTGCTTTGGTTAGAGCTGGGAGGCAGCATACTCTTGATGATTCTGGTAATCATGAGGATTTTTCGGGTGATCATGAAAAGGATAGTCTCGATGATACCATTGGGAGGAATGAGTGTCCAGATGGATGTGTTTTTAAGGAGACTGATGTCGATGCCGGGATTCATTCAGGTGATGATTTTTTTTAATTGAAAATTGAATTTTAGGAAACAATAATTGAACAGTTGTATTTTTATCATTGGCACTTGTTTTATTTTTTGGTACTTCCTTCACTTTTTGGTACCAATTGTTTGGTACTTCTTTCAGTTTTTTCTTCTTTGTTTCTTCTTAAGAAATTTGGTACCAATCTTTTGGTACTTCTTTCAGTTGGTAAAAAATTGGTACCAAATCTGAACCAAAATTTTTAGTGATTTGATGACATTGGAAGCAGATTGGTACCAAATTGAAATAAAATTAGTGCGGAAAATTGAAATAAACTGGTACCAATTTGTATCAAACTGATACAAAATAGATGCATAAGTGTATCCAACTGGTAATTAAATCCAATTTGTACAAAACTGAATCAATTTGGTACCAAATCGAATGTAGTTGTTACAGAACTGAATTAAATTGGTATCAATCAAATTGGCAAAATTTTTGGTTTAACTTTGCCAAAATGGTACCAGACAGATTTAAAATTGCATCAAACTGGTAATTAAAGCAAATTTACTTAAAACTGAATCAATCTGGTACCAAATGGAATCAATTTGCTACAAATTTGAATCAAACTGGTACCAAATTAAATCCAGTTTATACGAATCAAACTGCTACTAAATTAATTAATTACTGATTAATTAAAATTGTAACATGGTACCAAATTGAATAAAACTGCTACCAAACAGAACCGAACAGAAACTTTGATACCAAAAGTGCATCAAAGTGGTACCAAATGAAATCAAATTTTTACAAAACAGAATCTTGGTACCAAATCGCAAAAATGAAATTGACACAAAAATTTTAAATGATCATTGGATCCATAAATAATGTTGCTTTGATTTCCCAAAACTAATTAACTTGCAAATTAGGTAAAGCAAAACTGATTAAAAAAAAAATCGTTGCAATTTTCAAATTTAAAAATAGAAATTCAGTAAGCTATAGTTTTTTTTTTATTCTGCCGTACGCAAAACAGTTTGCAAATGATTCTTGAAAGTTATTGTTTAGTTGTAGTATTGCCAAACAGATGTTTTGTGCTGTAGCTCTTTCATCAATTCACGAAAATTATATAGTTTCTCTTTTTATCGTTCGACTTCTATAATAATTGATCAATATTTTTAGTGCTACTTGTTCTTTTCTCGGATTTTCTCATAGCAATCGGAAGTTATTTTAGAAACGGTTTCTGCTTCTTGGGAAAAACAAACGTTGAAATAATTGTAGAGAATAGCACTTTTTGTTTTTTGTGGTATTTTTGAACTAGATATTTTGCTCATAATTTTAGATTATTATTATTATTATTACTAAATTTTGAAACTATTGTTTTCATTACTATTTTAATTTGATTTTTCTACAATTTTAATTTTATTTCTATTTTGATTTTGTGACTACTTTAATTTTACCACTGTTCTAATTTTGCCACTGCTGTTTCATTAATTTTTTCTGTTTTTCTCTTGCCACTACTGTTACTTTTTTATTATATAAAAGTCATTATAAGTAATAATAATTTCAACAATAGAGGATCTAAGAGCAACATCTTTCTCCATATTTTACAATTAAGTCTAACAAAACTACATAAAGTAGTTGTTTCATAATTATCATATTTATATATAATTTCACATTATTCTGTATGCGCGGTTTTTCGAAAACTTATATACATACTATGCTATCATTTTCCTTTAACGCTTAATTTCTATGCAGGATTCTCAAGGATGTTGTGAGAGAAAACGATAATTCTAATAATATTCTAAATGATGCAATAAAATTTATACGATGAATGATGAAGTAATACATAATTTATCATATCATCAGCATAATGAAAAATCGTCTTATTTGTATATACAATATATATATTTATTTATTTTTCAAATATCAAATAAAGGGAAAATTATTCTAAAGGAATATTTTTTTTAATGCTCAGTCTCTAAAATTTGATTTGTGAAAAGTGCAGTAATTCGTAATTTTTGTTTATTTTAGTCTCTTTTTATACGAAAAATTCGTAAATTTGACGATATAATTTGGAGAATTTTAGAGAAACTGCAAATGATTGGAGAAATTCAATTATTTCGAAAAGTAATAAAATTCTTCGCAAAAATTCAATTAAGTTCAAAAATTTTGAAAAGTTTCGTCAAAATTTCAATTATTATCTTTGAATTAAATTCTTAATCTTCAATTAAATTTTTCTCCAAAATTCAATTATTTTCAAAAATTTTAATAACAATCTTGGTAAAATTTCAGTTATTTTCAAAAATTTTCCTCAATAATTCAATGATTGTCAATATTTACTATTCTAATAAAATTTTCTAAAAGAATTCAATTATTTTGAAAAAATGTAATAAAATTCTACCCAAACATTAAATTATTTTCATAAAATAATAAAAATTTCCCAGGAATTCAATTATTATTTACAAATTTTTTATAAATTTTTTCGCAATAATTCAATTATTGTCAAAAAAATAAAATTTTTACAGTCAATTATTTTCGTACACAATAAATTTTTTTTAAGGAATTCAATTTTTTTCATAAATAAATAAAACTCATGGCGGAATTTCAATTATTTTTAATAAAATTTTAATCGAATTTTTCAAAAAATATAATTATTCTTAATAATTTTAATAAAATTCCATACAAAAGAATTCAATTATTTTCAAAAATAATAAAATCTTTCACAGAAATTCAATTCTTTGTAAACATTTTAATAAAATTTTTCGCAATAATTTAATTATTTTCATAAATAATAAAATTCTTCTCAGTAATTTAATTATTTTTTGGAAATTTTAATAAAATTCTTAGCAACTATTCAATTATTTTCAGAAATAATAAAATTCATTGCAAGATTTCAATTTTTTTTTCATACAATTTTAATTTTAATTTTACTGGAATTGCTCGAGAAATGTAATTTATTCTTAAAAATTTAATTTCAATTCCTCGAAGAAATATATTATTTAAAAAAATGTTTTTTAAAATTCTTTGGAAGAATTCAATTATTATCACAAATAAAATTTTTCTCAATAATTCAATTATTTTCATAAATAATAAAATTCTTTGCTGGAATTCAATTATTTTTGAAAATTTTTATCCACTATTCAATTATTTTCATAAATAATAAAATTAATCGAAAGATTTCAATTATTTTTTATATAATTTTACAGGAATTGATCGAGAAATGTAATTGTTCTTAAAAATTTAATTTCAATTTCTCGGAGAAATCGATTGTTTAAAAAAATGTTTTTTTTCAATTCTTTGGAAGAATTCAATTATTTACAAAATTTTAGGATTTTCCACAGGAATTCAATTATTTTCAAATATTTTTATAAAATTGTTCGAAAGAAATTAATAATTTTAAATAGAATTTTAATTAAATTTTTTTGAAATAATTCAATTATTCTTTTAGAATTTAAAAAATTCCTCCCAAGAATTGAATGATTTACGTAAATAATTCTTCGAAAGAATACAATTATTAAAGATAAATAACAAAATTATTCCCGAAAATTCAATTATTTTGAGGCAATTTAATAAAATTCTTTGCGAAATTGAATCATTATTATAAATAACAATATTCATGACAAGAATCCAATTATTTTTAAAAGCAATAAATTTTTTCTTTTAAATTCAATTATTTAAAAAAATTCTAATTAAATCGTTCGCAAGAATTCAATTATTTTCATAAATAATAAAATGCTTTTTAGGAATTCAATTATTTTGAAAAAAAAATTTAATAAAATACCACACAGATATTCAATTATTATATTATATCGTCGAAAGAATTCAATTATTTAAAAATTTGTTTACACAATTCTTTATGAGAATTGAATTTTAAGAAACATTCAATTATTGAATAAATTATTTATTTTTGTATTTAAATAATTGAATTCTAGTAGAATTTTCTCATAAACATTGATTTAAAAACACATTTCAGTTAAAATTTTAAAAAACAACTTTTTTGAAAATTAATTAATTTAAAGAAGAATTCTTAAAAATAATAATTGAATTGAAATGATAATAATAATTTTGAAGAAGATTCGGACTGATTATATTTGAATGATAAAGCTGAGAATTATATTATTTTTATTTAGTAGGACAAGAAAATTCGTGTGAAAAATGTTATTCATAAATCATTTTTCTTTTTCTTTGGACAAAACAAAATGGTATTACACTATATATATTACGAAAGAATGTCATTTACACATTTTCCCTTTTCTTCCTTTTTATTCTCAAGTGATTCATTTTTCTCACGATCGATTGCAATGGGAATGTAAAATATTTCTCCACATTTCAGATAAATTGCAAAAATATACAAGAAAAGATAATCTGTAATAATATAAAATGACTAATACAGTTGGAATTGTTTGGAGAAATTTTTTTTTTTTTATTTTTCAACGAATTCAAAGTAAAATTTTCTTTTGAAACTTTTTATCTTGTCCCAGCGCATTTTTCTTGAAGATAAAAAAAAATAAGATATTGACTCACCAGGGTATTTATTTTTGTTTACGAAATAACGAAGGGCTCAATACGTTTAAATTGTGGAGTGTATAATTTTTTGTTCTTTATAATTACAAATTATGCCATGTGCGCGCCCCTCGTAAAAAAGTATAGCAACGTAAAATTTTCAAAAAATTTTATGTTGCGTGAGAAAAAATTTTTCACTCTTTAAATTTGAATTATGACACTATAATTTAGGAATAAGAGCCAAATATTTTAAATAATAATTATTTTCACAATTATGAATGATTAATTAATAAAATTTAAAATTAAATTATCTTTAATCCTTCTTCTTTTTTTAATTCATTTCTTATAGTAAATAAAAATAGTAAATAAAAAGTAGTAAAAATTGATAGTAATGATGATAAAAATAATAATAATAATAGTAATAATAAAATATACACGTGGGAAAAAAGTAGGGCTTTGGAAGATATTGCATGTTGGTTTATAAGGGGAGTCAAAAGTAGGCGAAAGAGTTGTTCCATAATGTATGAGCTGTTCCCGTGGGCTCGTTATTATTTAAGGACAAGGTATTACATACAAGACTGCGAAGAGGCGAATTCTTATTATTTATTCATCACTTTGCACCGTTTCTTCATCAATTTAAGAAGAAGACGAAGAAAGAAAGAAAAAATAAATCCGAGCGAAAAAATGCGTCTCTTTTATCGAAGGGCGGACTTTTAAAACAGTCTATTGAAATTTAAATCTGAATTTTAAAGAAATGCGTAGAATCGAAAAATAACAAAGTGAAAATTAAATATTTATTTATATTTGAAAATTTATTTACCCATTTTTTTTAGGATCAAATTGAGACAAAGAAACGTATCAAAATTGTTCGCAACAATTTTGATACGTTTTTTTTTGTCTCAATTTGATGTCCTTAGAAAAATTGTGCATATGAAAATGAAATGAAATAAAAATATAAAATAAATATAAATAATATAAAATAAATAAAAAATGAAAATGCAACTGAAACGAGAATATGAAAACTGAAAATATTTTTTCAAAAAGACTTGAAATAATGACCTGATGGGAAAAGATAATAATTGTTGGACGACACTTTCTACTATTATTAGTATAAAGATTGTCTATCGACTTAAATAGCTTTTCGTTGGAATTTCGTCCAGCAAACCGTGACTAAAAAAAATCATTTGACAATTATTATGTCAGACACGAAAATAGGAATACGTTAATTACAATGGTCTGAGTGCGAAAATACGACGAGAATTAAAAGAAGGAAGTTTTATTGCGTTCAACCGTTCTTGTTTCCGTTCGAATATAACGGGATCCGATTTGCGAATACTGAATACCGATTTTTCCCTCCATCTCCATTGTGGCTCTCTTTCTTTCTCTCTCGGCTCCCCTTTTCCTGTTTTTTTAAATAATTTATATAACAATGAGAATTCGTTTCTTTATAAGCATTCCTTCAAAAATATTATACATACTTTTCCCAACCGGAAAATTCCTGAGATATTGTTTCATTTCCAATGTTGTAATTTCTCTTTTTCTCATTCTCCTTTTTTTCCCCTGGAAAAAAAAAATTTGTTAATTGAATAGGAAAATGTCTTTTTAATTTCTTGCAAAATGGCAAATTGAAGTGAATTCAAATTTAAATTCCTTTTTAATATTTATTTGGAGTGTTCACCAAATCACCAGGTTCATAAAATTAGTCAAAAAATTTATAAAATCGTAAAAAAAATCGTCAGAAATAATAGTAAAATTATTATACGAACAGATTAAGATTTAATATGGAGACGTTATTCTCCACCTGCGAACGCCAAGGTCACCGCTAGATGGCACTTCACAATTCTTGGAATTTTCACTGCCATCTGGTGGCGACCTTGGCGTTCTCAAGTGGAGAAATTAAATCACCATTTTATCAAGAAATTTTTTTCAATTAAAAAATGTTATTTTACATAATATGCGACTATTTGCAACAATTACAAATTTACACTACTTGAAATCCGTTAATAATTAAAATAAAGAAAATTCAATTATTTTCAAATTTTTCTTTCAATTTTTTGCAAGTTTTCAATTATTTTTACAAATGTAATGTAATGAAATTATTTCCGTAAATAATGAAATTTTTACTAGAATTCAATTATTTACAAATTTTTTTTATAAATTTCTTCGTAATAATTCAATTATTTTCATAAACAATAAAATCATTACAGGGATTCAATTATTTTCGTACATAATGAAATTTTTACTGGAATTCAATTATTTAAAATTCAATTTTCATAAACTTTTTTTGGAAAAAATCAATTATTTAGAATATTTTAATAAAATTCTTTGAAAGAAATTAATTATTAACAGAAGTTTTAGAGAAATTTTGTTTATAAGAATTTAATTATTTACAATACAATATTTTTAATAAATTTCTCGAAAGTATTATTATTTATTTTCATAAATAGAATAAAATTTATGGCATAAGAATTTAATTATTTTTAATACTGGTTTATTAAAATTAATCAAAATAATTCAAAAGTAATATTTTTAATTTTAATAACATTTTTGGAAAGAATTTAATTATTTTCAAAGAATTTAATAAAATTTTTTTAAAAATTCATTTATAGAATTATTTTTAAAAATTTAATAAAATTTTTTCAAAAATTCCATTATAGAATTATTTTTAAAAATTTAAATAAAATTCTTCGACAGAATTCAACTATTTTTATAAATTATAAAATTTTCTATAGAAATTCAATTATTTAAAAAAACTTTAATATTTAGCGTATGAATTCCATTATTTTTTATACAATTTTAATTAAATTATTTAATATAATTCAATTATTTTGCAGAACATTTAATACAATTTTTTCAAAAATTCAATTATTTTCACAAATAATAGAATTTTTCTCGGAAATTCAATTATTTAAAAAAATTTTAATAAAATTTGTTGCAATAATTTAATTATTTTTAATACAATTTTAATTAAATTATTTTAATTAATTCAATTATTTTGCATAACATTTAATACAATTTTTTCAAAAATTCAATTATTTTCACAAATAATAGAATTTTTCTCAGAAATTCAATTATTTAAAAAAAATTTAATAAAATTTGTTGCAATAATTCATTTATTTAAAAAATTTTTAATAAAATTTGTTGCAATAATTAAATTAAAAAAAAATTAATTAAATTTGGTGCAATAATTCAATTATTTTTATAAAATAATAAAAATTTTACAGGAATTTAATTTAGGAAAATACAGAATAAAATTTTTGTGATTTTTCTAAACCGAATAAAAAGTGTTTTTTTAGTCGTCAAATTATTTTTTTTTATTTTTACTCCTTTTTTTTAGTCTTAAAGTTATTTATACTAATTTAATTAGTGAAATTTGACAATTCTTTTTGATATTTATTTTCTTATTGAGAATTAGTAATTTTTTAGTAACAGTTGTATTTTTTATTAAAACTTGAAGCAAAAAGTCAGCTACGATTTTACTAATAATTAGTTATTTTTTACTAATTCAGATTTATACAGTATTATTAATAATTATAATGTAAATTAATATTAATTTAAATTACTGATTGACTTTTTGCTTTTGATTTAGTAAATTTTACTAATAAATTAGTAGAAATTACAATCTATTAGTAAGATTTACTAATTTACTCTTAGTAAACCTTATTAATAGTAAATTTTACTAACAAATTAGTAGAAATTACTATTTATTAGTAGAAATTACAATTTATTGGTAAGATTCACTAATTTACTATTAGTAAATCTTACTAATAGTAAATTTTACTAATAAATTAATAGTAATTACTGTTTATTAGTAAAATTTACAAATTCCAAAGCAAAAAGTCATTCACTAATTCAATTTAGTAAATATATTTACTAATTCAAATTTACAGAGAGGGAAATCAGATAAAAAAAAGGGTTTTTGTTTTCCTCATCCAAATCTAAACTAATGAGCGTATAAATCGAGTACATTGTTAAACAATCATAATGAAGTGAAAATATGTGCAAGCAGTTAGTGAGGTACTTTCCGTGAATCTCGATATTATAATATCTTTTATTTAAACTTTTTCTTCTTCTCCTTTTTTTTTCTTGCGTTCGAATAGCGTGCGCGTATGAAAGTTTTCGATGCTTGGTTGATCTTTAGTGCATATAGAGTTATTAGTTGGGAGCATGCAGCGTATAAATGAGGCTTTCACGGTTGTTTTTCTTTTGAGAAATAAATACTTGCGGGTTGAGGCCACGCGACAAGAGAGCAAGAGAGAGAGAGAGAAAGAAAATCCCATTCCAATCAGAGAGATACATTAATGTGTCCTGTCTCTCGAATCCTTTCGATCGGGTCGTGGACCTTCATCAAGATTTTCAGGGACCTACTTATATGCACTGAGAACCAGCATCTCCATAGAAAACACGAGGCACCTGCCTCGCCACTCTCTGCTACACCGGACCCAAACGAAAATACTCTACACTCCCCTCGACCATACTTCCCAACGTTTTCAAAATAATTAAATAACCCACGTTTATGCTGCAACTTCAGTTGCAATAAAAAAAGATTTTTTATTTTATCACAATATAATTTTAAGTCTCATATAAAAAAAATTGAATTGCAAAGTTTCTCAATGTTAAATTTAAGTTTTTAATTTTTATTGTACTCAGTAATTTTTTAAAATATCTTTGAAAAATATTTCATTCATTTGAAGGTTCAAAACTTGTGGATCATTCATTGTAACTATAGAGAATTTTAACAACCTTTGGCTATGATTACCAACTCTCTAATTTTGAATTAAAAAATATTTTGACTTTTTGCTTTTGAATTACAGGCTTCAGCCACTAAAAAGCTACTATTTCCGTTTTTTTTTTTTAGAATGTCCACTACTTTAAATTCGCTAATATTAGAAATCAAAAAACTGTTCTCAAAAATTATAATCTAATTCTTTAAATCGATTCAATTATTTTCAAAAGATATTCGAAATTCAATTTTATTTTCAATATCTAGTATTTTCATGAAATTTCGCAAAACAATTGAATTATTTTTAAAAAATTGATAAAATTAATCCAAAAATTCAATTATTTTCATAAATTAATAAAATTTCGACAGGAGTTCAATTAATTTAGAATGGCATTTCCAAAAAAATTTCGAAAAAATCAATTATTTAACAAAATTTTTATACAATTCTTCACAATAATTAAATTACTTTCACTAATAATAACATTTTTCATGAAAATCCAATTATTTAAAAGAAAATTTTTAATAAAATAATTCTAAGCAAGAATTCAATTACTTTCATAAATAATAAAACTCATCGAAGAATTTCAATTATTTTTAATATTATTTTACATTAATTAATAGAAAAATTCAATTCTTTTCACAAATAACATTTTCTACAAGAATTCAATTATTTAAAATAAAATTAAAAAAAAATTTTTTAAATAAATTTTTTATGAATAATTTAATTATTTTCAAAAATAATAAAATCTTTCACAGAAATTTAATTCTTTTTAAACATTTTAATAAAATTTTTTGCAATAATTCAATTATTTTCATGAATAATGAAATTCTACTCAGGCATTAAATTATTTTTTATAATTTTAATAAAATTCTTAGCATCTATACAATTTTTTTCATAAATAATAAAATTCATCGCAAGATTTCAATTATTTTTTATACAAATTTACAGGAATTGCTCAAGAAATTTAATTTATTCTTAAAAATTTAATTTTAATTCCTCGAAGAAATTAATTATTTAAAAAAATGTTTTTTCAAAATTCTTTGTAAGAATTCAATTATTTTCATAAATAATAAAATTTTTCGCAATAATTCAATTATTCTCATTAGTAATAAAATTCTTCGCAGGAATTCGATTATTTTTGAAAATTTTAATAACATTCTTATAGCGCGACTATTCAATTATTTTCATAAATAATAAAATTCATCGCAGGATTTCACTTATTTTTTATACAATTTTACAGAAATTGATAATTAAAAAATTCTTTGGAAAAATTCAATTATTTACAAAAGTATTAGAATTTTTTACAGGAATTTAATTATTTTATAAATAATTTTAATTACATTATTTTGAGATAATTTAATTATTCTTTTAGATTTTAATTAAGATCTTCTCCAGAATTCAATTATTTACATAAATAATTCTTCGAAACAATTCAATTATGTCGCGATAATAAATAATAAATTATTCCCGAAAATTAAATTATTTTGAGGCAATTTAATAAAAGATCCTAAAGTTCTGAACGTTCAAATGAACGAAATTTATTTATTTTTTCTACAAATTAAATTTTTATTGCAATTTATTATTTTGTGCCATTGTCCAAAAAATTAATTTTTGAGTTCCTAAACGTAAAATTTCAGTTTTTTAATTTTTTTGTAATTAGTAATTTATAAAAATATCTGCAATAAAAAATATTTCGTTCATTTGAACGTTCCAAATTTGGGGATCATTTTAATGAAATTCTTTGCAAAATTCAATTATTATCATAAATAACAATATTCATGACAAGAATTCAATTATTTTTAAAAGTAATAAATTTCTTCTTGGAAATTTAATTAT